AGCCAGAAATGGCCATTCTGGTCTCCCTTTGCTTTGTCGGATCCACTTCATACATAGATATTTATAAATATATTTAGTAGCAGATAGGCAAACGCCCATCGTTTACGGGACACACTCTTCCCGTGTGGTGCCTTCGGGTTTACTATCAATCCGCGCCGCAAGGCGGCTAATGATATAGGCAGAAGGATATTACCGACAAAGACAAAGGAGACTAGGATGGTCATTTATGGCTTATAAGCCGTCGTCAGCCAGTTGTGCCCAACCCCAAGTGGTGCCCCACCTGAGTTTCGAACCAGCAACCTTGGTAGTTAGAAGTCCAACGCTCTGTCTTGTCGGTTTCCAATTGGGAATATACAGTGTCTGACTGTCTGACGAGGGTTGGTAGGCCAGAAATGGCCGTCCTAGTGTCTGTTTTCTTTGTTGGTAATGTACTCCTGCTAAAATGTATGCAGGTATGCATGTGTCTATCCGAAAAACCGTTTTGCGCCGCACAAAGTGTCACTCGTCAAAACGGCGTCAAGTTTTTTGTGGTTCAATCGTTATTCAGCTTTTTGTAAACAATTCCGAGGGGGAAATGATACGCGACTATACAAATATACGAAGGCTGTCCAATGTTACCTTAAACGAAAAGTGGACTGCTGACTGAAGATAATGCGGCACTAGCAGAACTAACAGTCGTAAATGACAGGGAAAACATCGGATTGTAATAATGCAAATATAATCCTTGGAGCCCATATCAGAAAATGCAGATTTAGGCCAGTGTAAGCGTCGCGTAGAAAGTTCACGGCGAGTTTCTATTGAATAACTTGTCCTGCTCATTCGCGGCACTTATTTCTAGCTAAAAACCTGGTCGTCAGTCTATTCCGAGTCTAAAATATCGTCATATGTCCGTGTGGAGACAGTTCAGGGACAACGTTATTTTTTCAAAATAGTTGACTTTAAACCTTGAAAGGAAGCGACATATTTTACTCAAGGCCGAGGAACCTCAAAAGCCGAAAGGCTGACGTTCGAGGCATAGTACTCAGATGCCAACTCGGTCAACAGGCATCTAGACCTGCCAGCGGCCTACAAAGTCTTGCGCCATTATGTAGGAAGGAGACGGAACGAAGCCAAACCAAACATAAGAATGGCAAGCGAAGAGGACCACACAACGAGCCGGCCGGAAGATGAGGCAGGGGTACCAGGACCCTCTACCGGGTGACGAGGCGGCAAACTTATTGCTGCTCATGACCCCCAGCTCTACTGACAGCTAATTAGCGTACA